TGATCTCCACCTCCCAAGTAGCTAGAATTATAGATATGAATTACTGCACCCAGAGAGAAAGCTATTTTTGAGACAATCTCACTATATTGCCCAGACTGGTCCTGAACTCCTGGTCTCAAGTGATCCTCCTTCCTCAGCCCCCCAAGTAGTTGTGGCTATAGGTGCATGATACTGCACCTGGCTAAACTATTTTAAAGTGCAAACTCAAAACACCACTTGACTAGCGAATTCCCCAGAAGGTCACAGTCATGAAGACCAATCTAGCCTCTCTTCTTTTATCCCTTCACCTCTGTCTTCTCCTCTCCTCTCCTTTCCTCTCCTCCCTCCTCCCCTCCCCTCTCCTCTCTTCTCCCTTCCTTTCCTCCTCTCTGTTTAATAACATTCCTGCTTTATGATAAAGTTGAAACTAAAATTTGTCTGAACACACACACACACACACACACACACACCTTGCACCATGAAATTACAACCTTTGGCTTGCCTAGCCTGCATACATTGACTCTCTCTTCTCTATCCACGTTGTTGGTGACACTTCTCCCTCATGCATTCACCCCAGACAGTCTTTGCACTAGTTAAGGTCAAACTCACACCTCAGACAGAGGGGCAGCTTAGAAGAGACAGTCCTGGGATACCAGGGTGGCCTCCTCAGCCCCACCCCTTCTTCATGGCTACTCACCTCCCTGGGGCACCAAGTCTTTCTTTTGCTAGACAGCCAGGTTCCTTTTTCCAACTGAAGGTGGAGACCACATGCAAAAGATGTGCTAGTATCTTGAAGACTGATAAGAGCTGTAGATCACGAATCAAACCCATGTGGTGGCAAACATTGCAGCCAAGCCTTACTGGCTGTGGGATTTTGGACAAATCATTTGTCTATGCACCTTAGTTTCCTCACCAGAAGTATGGGCATAGCGAGAGTAACCAGTAGAGTTGGTGTGAAGATTTAATATAATATTCCATGTGACAGTCCCTAGCAAAGGGCCTGGCACACAGGAAGTTCTCAGTGTTAGCCATTGTGAACATAACTAGCTCTAGTCCTCTATGGGTTTTAACCCTCTTGCTGACTGGGGTGTTGTCTACAAAGGCAGGATAGTTGATCAAGAGACTGGCTTTGGAGTCTGATGGGCCTGGGTTGCAATCGCTGTCACTCGCTGGCTGTGTGACCTGCCTCTAAGCACTTACCCTTGCTGGGCTGCCATTTTTCTCTTCTGTTAAATGAAGATAGTAATACCCATGGCAAAGTGGTTTTGTGAATTATAACCAACATGTATAAAAATGCACATATGTAAGCGTGCAGCTGGTGGAATTTTTACAAAGTGGGTAATGAGTACCCATATTGAAGAACATAACATGACTACTATCTTAGAAGGTGCCCTCAGGGCTAGTCACAAACAACCCTCCCAAAAAGGGGAAGCACCGTTCTGTCTTCTAGCACCGTAGGTTTGGTTCACTTGTCTTTGAACCATATAAATCATAGTTGGTTTCAAGGACTAAAATACATGCAATAATTTCACCACCATGTCTAGCACCTAGTCGGGACTCAGTACAAGTGTGTGTGTGTTCCTTTCCCTTACTGGAAAGCAAGGCACAAGGTTGTCAGAACTCCCAAAGGCCATGATTGTAGCTCACACAGCTATTTGTACTGAAAGAGAAACCCAGCACTCTCCCCACCTCCACTAACCATGGCACATGGGAGGGCAGAGAGGAGGAGGGGGGCCCTTTGGGAGTGGCTATCTAGGGCATCTCAATGCACAGGTATATGCCCTGTCACCTTCTCCCAGCAGCCCTTGGCGCGTGACCAGCATGCCATTGGGACTGAGGTGGGGGGAAGTGGAACAGGAAGAATACAGGCTGAGATTGCACCAGGATCATGCCCCCCAAGAAATCATACTTATTGGAGCTTCTCCAGTTACAGACTCTGAACTCCCATGTCCTTTGAGAGGGGGAGATAACTCAAAGATACCTTTAGCTTGCATTTTCTGAAGTACAACCAGTGTACATTATACATAAGTCAGTAAAGATAACTCTGATTTGGGAAAAGAAGCCAGGAAACTCAGTGGCATTTCCTAGCCATGCAGGTATCTGTGTTTGTGCTGCACATAGTTGACTTGACAAAGTGCCCTCAGAGTGTGGGTAAGTCTTTTATGGAAGCTGGTGAATGGAGTCCTGTTCTCCTTGGCCTGGCTAAGGAGGGCCCAGGTGGCCTGGGGCTGGCCTACAGGGGTTAAGAGGATGCTAACCAACAGTCTGTCATGAAAGGCCACTTTATAGATCCCCACTGTTTTCCAAGCAGTCTGTATGTCATATAACACCTTCAGTGAGAACCTCCACAGGGCTGGACTTCTTTCAGGGGACCAACCCCTGAGGCTGTGGAGTTTCTGAGAAACTTGACTCCTAGCTATGATAAGAAAGACCTTGAGAGGAACAGGCTTTCCTTCAGTTGTTCAGCAGGCAAACATTTGCCTGGCCCACACCACGCAGGAAGGCAACATCTGCGTAGGCAAGGGATTTGTGAGACTGTCACAAGGAAAATGCAACAAGTAAGGGGAAAGTGGAGAAGAAGCCTCTCTTTGGCTTGGGAAATCTCACTGGTCAAGACCAGGTTCAGGGCCTAAGCTCCTCTTGTAGGCAGGGCTTCACAGAATGACACAGGGTGAAATCAGAGGGCATAGGAAACACTGCGGCAGCCATGCAGCAGACACCCCTGACAACGTGGGGGCTCATGGGAGAGACCTGTTGCCCTGAGATCCCAATATTTTGAATGTAGGTCATCACATCCATTCTAGTCACTCAAGCTTTTATCATCATTCTCACAAGCAGAGCACTTATTACTTGCCACTTGACATGCATTATCTCACTGATTCCTCAAAAGCTCCCTCCTATAGTTCAATAATATTCAATTTTAGCAGTGAGGAAACTGAGGCACAGGCAGATGAAGTGATATACACTGAGATCACACTATTGGGAAGTAGCAGAGCTGTCCTGGCACCTTGCCACCTGGTTCTAAAGTTATGTGCCACACTGTACCCCATGTCTCCAGTGACCCATACTATGATATGAACATGGTTTGCCCTCTCTGAAACTCCTCATGTTAGAGTCTAACCCCCACTGTGAGGTATTGAGAGGGTGGAAGCTTAATCTAACTATGGTGTTCAGAGATGGGGCCTTCGGAAGATGGTTAGTGATTGCATAAGGGCCCCTATGAATGAATTACTGGTGGCTTTATGAGAAGATGGAGAGAGACCAGAAGATACATACATTTCCTCCTGGTCTCTTGCCATGTGATGCCCTGAAATGTCTGATAAGAGAGCCATCAACAGATATAGACCTTTGACCTTGGACTGGAATCCTGAGCCCAAATTAATTTATTTTCTTTATAACGTACCCAATCTGTGGTATCATGTTATTAAGCAACAGAAAACAGACCAAGGCACCCCATCTGTAGGGTCAGTACCCTAGGATCCAAATCATAATTTTATACATTTAAGTGCTACTTATTCAGTGCCTTCCATGAGTCAGGCATTATGTTAGGTACTTGGAAAGCAGTAGTTATCAGACCGAGCGCCTGCTGTCACGGGATTCAGAGTCTAAGAGGGTGGGATGTAGTCAAGAAGGAAACACATACATATACAATGTGCTTGGTGGTGACATATGCTAAGAAGAAAAGTAAAACAAGATAAGAAGATTGAGAATGATAGGATGAAGGGCTTCTATTTTTTACCACCTCCCCCAAACAACTCAATGTCACAGCTATTGCTGCTCCTCGTGACATTATTCAACCCAGTCTTGGACATCACCTCCCTCCTCCTCAGCCAGCCCCATGCCCGTTTGAACAAGCTCCATATCATTTCCTTTTGCATCTGAGGCTATCACATGCCCTCCCATGTGATAGCCTACCTACCTAACCCACAGGATTCTCCAAGAAAAGCACATTACTTGGCTAGAAAAGTAATTTCTAGGAAAGAGGTCAATTCTGCCAAAATCAATATTCCAGATACGCAGAAACACCTTGTCAATGCCCAAAGAACACAGCCACGATGATGACTTTTGGAAACAGGTGCACTCTTTGCCTACAAGCAGAGGCCCCAAAGTGTCCACTTTGCACAAAGCACCCCACTTGGGGACCCACAGGCTTCCAATGGAAGCAAGGCATTCAACATGTGTACTTGTCAACAGCAATAAAAAGCTCTTAAAATGAGTCAGACCCTATCTCTTCACACATTTCTAAAAGAGGGATGACTGTTGGACACAGGAGGCACAGTGACTAGGGCCCAATGAACATTTGTAGGGGCCCACAAAACTGTAACTTATTTTAAAATCAGAAGAAAAATGATATGCTAATGATACTGCACATATTAAAAAATGAATCCAGTCAGGATTGCACTCATCTTTTACACCGATGCAATTATAAAATGTAATTTTAAATATTTTTTATGGAGGAAGGGGCACATGAATGCAATAGCCCATTCCACCTTAACTGTATGAATTCCTCCAGACCTAGATATTTTAATGCACACAATGCAACATAGTTCTCTTGAGCAATAGATACCCCTGACCTTGTGAAGGGTGGGAGAGGGATGTGGCAAGACTCCTCACAGCCTCCCTCTGGCCCAGTCCTTGTTCACCAGCTCATCCACTATTGGTAGAGAGGACGCAGTGAACATCAGCATGGGACATGCTTTATCTTATCAGGGACCCTTTGGTGTTCTTGCCCTCAGGTCAACAGTGATAAGCATAATATCTATAATGATGTTCAGAGCAAACGATTGTGGAGATCCTAGTGTGTGCTGTGCAGCAAATCCAGCATTTAACACAATTAAGGAACTAACAAAACAGGTGAACTAATTTGATTAAATGTCCATTTATACATTCAACTTCTAAAGAGAAGTGTGGCTTCTCACTAGGCAGTGTGACTTGCCTTTGGCAAATATACACATGTCCTAGGGAATAAAGTATCTCAAAGAACTGGTCTTTCAGTGAAAGCCTCCTCCCTCCCAGCTCACCATTCCTTAGGATCACATCTTCATGCTGCCTTGAGGGGTTCAGTGCTGGAGGCCTCTTGATATTGCGCAGAGCTCTGGAGAAGTGCTCATCCACTACACTGCTGATGTCCCCTTGGAAGTAGGTGAAAATGACACACCGGGAATTCCATTCAGTCTTTATAGGCCTCTGCCGACCTCTGGGCAGCTGGACAGCAGTCTTCTTCATTTCGTCCATTGTGGGTGAGTGACACAGGTGACAGCTGCAAACCAAATACAAAACATCATTGGCACTATTTTACCAAGTAGCTCAGCTGCATTTGGATGAGTGGCATTCTTATGGGTCAGCAGTTTACTTTTACCAAGTGCCAGTTCTCAGTGGAGCCCCAGGGAGATACCATGGTTCTTGAAGTTCAACAACAACACTGTACTGGTCTGCAGACCAGCTGAGGAGCCCAGTCTAATCAGAGTGGCTCAGGAGACAGCATGGCAAAGCTTAACAAAGTGCTGAAAGTGGCCTTTCTTACAAATAAGGATTTCCAGGCAATATAGCTTGCAAAGCATCAGTAGATAGGGTGGAGGCCATTGAAGCCACCTCCAGAGTAAGTTGGTTTCTAGAGAAATGAGTTTTTCCCAAAAGAATTAGCCAAGGTCAACCCAGAACCACCGCAGGCACAGCTCCCCCTGAAGAGTCAGACTAAGCAATCCAGTTGGTGTTGGACAATTTTGACCTGTGAAGAAAGCATTGCCTTCCATCTTGATCATGTCCATGCAAGAGAATAAAATGCTCCTGATGCCCTGTTCTCTGTAAGATGGTGTCCTGCCTCTATCCCTTCTTCATCTTGGAAACTAATAATTACAGACAACACCAGCCCTAAGGCCTCCAGATAGGCATATTCTGAACCAACCACAGATCTCTACAAAACAATTTTACCATAATATATTACAGCAACACTAGAGGAAAACTCCTGAAAGACTGTAAGTTTGTCAGTTCGTCAGTTCTGCTCAGCACTTCATAGCCTCTGTATCTAGAAAGGCCTGGAATAGAGAAGACGTTCAGTAGCTGTTTGCTGAGTTGCCTTGAACTTGGACTCCCTCATTGGTATCAGCAAATCCTGCCTCAGTTCCTGGAAGGCAGAGGTTGTCTATTTGCAAGAAGGCCAGGGCCCAGCACAGACTGGTCACTCAAGACATGTTGTGGCCTTCCTGTACTAGAGAAGGAGCATGTATGGGTGCTTCTTTACCTTGGTCACCCCCATCTGACTTACTATGTGCTCTGGCCAAAGATTTATTTCATCTATTCATTCTTGTTAATACAATGAAAATGATCAGGATTTAATAGACTGCCCTCCACTCTAGTATTTCTTACTTGTTTCTTTATCCTTAGCACCTTGCCCTAAGCAGGTGTTCAGTAAACAATGGCAGAATGACTGAATGCCATTTCATGCAGAGAAAGCACAGTACAAGGAAATCACACCAGGTGGTAGGTTTTCCCTCAGCTGTGTGACTTTAAGGGAAATGCATAGCCTCTCTGAATTTCATATTACTGTTGGGTCATAACTGGACTATGTTGTCTAGTGAAGCCTTTGATTGAATATCACTGTTTTGTTTCTCCTGGTTGATAGTCATGCTAAGTATAACCTTACAAAGTGAATCAATTGCATCTTTATTTTGAAAAAACATGCCAACAGCTACTTTGGAAAGCTGGGAGCTGAACATATTTGTAATGTAAGACCCAACACTTTTACTTTTAAGTACATCTATCCACAAAAAGTGAAAGCTGTGCTGTGTCTATACAAACTTGTATGTGGGTATTCATACCAGCTTTATGCATAAAGCTCCAAAAAGGAAATTACATAAATGTAATTTATTCTCCTTTATCAGGAGAATAAATAAGTTAGCTGGGACATATTCCTAGAATGGAATGGTACTCAGTAATAAAAAGGAAGAAAGTACCAATCCATACAACAACATGGGTGAATCGCAAATGTATTACAGTGAGTGAAAGAAGCCAATTGCAAAAGACCACAGTGTGTGATTTCACTTACATGGAACAAGCACAAGTAATCTGTGGTGATAGAAATAGAACAATGGATGCCTGTGGGGTAGAGATTGACTAGGAATGGGCATGAGGGAGCCCTCATCGATGCTAGAAATGTCCTCTAGTTTTTGTGACAGGGTCTCTCTATGTAGCCCAGCCTGGCCTCTAACTGGCAATCCTCCTGAGTACTGAATTGTCAATGTGTACCTCCAGCCACCCCCGCCGCCTGACCACTGCCATCTCCTGCATCTTGACAAAGGCTGAGGGTTACTATATGGATGTATACATTTGCCAAAACTCATCAAATTGTACTTAAGATCTGTGCATTTCACTATAGCTAAATTATTCCTCAATATAAAACACAAAATAGGGCAGAAGGAATGGCTCAAGTGGTAGAGCACTTGCCTAGCAAGTACAAGGCCCTGCATTCAAACCCAAGTACTGGCAAAAGCACAAGACACGTGGGAGCCTAGATGCCAAGCAGAGGTGTTATGAGTTATAAAGTAATGATAAATGTGGACATAGCACCAGTTTTAAAGGTATAGTTTATAGAATACTTATTCCATGCCAGAAGCTACATATGTATCTTCTCCAGACCTTCCATTATGATAAGCAAACTGGAGCTTAAAGAAGGTGAAATAAACTGCTCAGGCCACACAGCTCAGTTGTGGCAAGGAACCAAGGTCTACCTGGCTCCAAACTCTGCCTACCATACTCTACTGCCTACCTGATGAATGGGATAGTCCTTCGCCTTCTGCAGGCCTGTCTCCCATCTATCAAAAGTGTAACGGGGTTGGCCTCTAATCCCTAGGCAGCCTGGATCCAAGAACTGAGGGTCTCCTATGATTGCCAACAGGGAATGCAGGCAGAAGCTCCACTCACCCACCCCCTCAGGGCTTCCCCTTGAAGCCCCTACTTCCAGGGCTGGGGACTTGGGTAGCACCTTCAGAGGATTCTTCTGCTCTGCATTGCCAGCGGCTACTGCACTAGGCTCAGGCTTGACACAGCCTGCAATCCATTTTTGTTAACTGCCCCTGAGGCCACAGATTGGCCAGATTCTTGAAACATCAGGGCCACATGCACTTTTGTAGTCTGCTTGGGGAGAGTCCACAGAGACCAGAGGTCAAATGGCCACAGTGGGGAAAGGTCAGAGATAAACTCAAGGCAACATTTCAGACCATCATACTTGGAAGGCTCAGATTATGGACAAGTGGAGACCCTGAGTAAACCACAAGTATTACCCCTGCCTCTCTTTTCCTCTCCAAACACACACTCAAAAAGGAAGCTGGGCAGTGGGGGGGGGTGACTTCTCTGGATCCAGCTCATGAGCAATTCTCTGGGCTGCACTTGGACCCCAGTTGAAGGAAACTATATTTGAGGGATATTAGCATTCTAAGAACTAAGCTGGGTGTCATGGCACATGCTTGGAGTCCCAGCCACTGGAGAGGCTGAGGCAGGAGGATCACTTGATCCCAAGAGTTCAAGAACAGCCTGGGCAACATCGCAAGACCTTGCCTCAAAAAGGACTGGTGGAGTGACTCAAGTGGTAGAACACCTGGCAAGCAAGCATGAAGCCCTGAGTTCAAACCCCAGTACCACCAAAAAAAAAAAAGAAGAAGAAAAAGAAAGGAGGAGGAGAGGAAGAGAAAGGGTGCTGCAAAGCTGCATCTCAGGAGCTGCCAGTCACAAAATAGAATGACATCAAGTTTTCCAAGTGGACCTTGAAATATTGCCCCAAGTACTGCAAAACATTTTTGAATAAGGAATCCAAAACCAGCAGTTTGGCCTCACGTCTACTACATGGATGCTGCCTAGATGCTTTTATACTTCTGCAAATGGTCTCCCTGGGGTGGGGTGAGCAGTCAGAGGGGTGGATGTCACAGTGATCACCTGGAACAAAAGTCCCAAAGGAACCAGACTGTATCTCATTGAGCCCAGTAGGTTATGCCCTCCAATTTCTTTCCAGTTGAATTTCCAACCCTCTTCCTCTTTTCCCCTCCCCTGAAAGTCCCCACCTTTTCTTACCTTAATTCTGGATCATTACCTGAGACAGAGCAAGATTCTATGGTGGGGAATAGATGTGTTTTGATGGGCAGAACTGCCTGGTCCACTTTCAAGCAGCGCAGGGATCACAGAAGTAGGAGCTGAGGATTTGTGCCCTCCCTTTGCTACCTTCTGCCCCTCTAGCTGAAGCTGTACAAGGCGTTTCCTGCTAGCTATCTATTAAGAATGCAGAAAATGCACTCCAACAAGTCAACCTGGTTGGGCACCTGCAGGAATGAGGAAAAGGGGTAGCTCTTTTTTATTTCTCATTTTTGTATTAAAAATCACTTTGTGATATTAATAGTCTCCTGAACTGGAGGCCAATTATTTGCCCCAAATCATACATAGAGTCAATAACATGTAAAACAGTAACTGTGGAATTTACATCAAACTGATGTCGTATTTCATCTCAGGAACTGAGAGTCTCTTTAGATTATCTCTAGTTTCTCTCTCTCTCACCTGGACTCATCATGGGCTTCCATAGGCTGCAGAGGGAGTGAAGACTTCTCTGAACCTGTGACAGAGGCAACTCAGAGACTCTAGTAGGATGTTTGGAGCAGGGGCCTCAATACTCATTTTGAAAAATCCTCAACATTACCTCAGTAAGCAGCACCATCATTCAAACCTTAAGCCTTGACCTTTGCTCCTTTGTTAGTCAGTTTTCCATTGCTGTGACAAAATACCTGAGCAAATCAACTTTAGAGGAGAAAACACTTATTTTGGCTCACAGTTCAGAGGTCTCAGTGCATGGTCACTTGAACCCATCCCCTTGGGCCTGTGATGGGGCAGAATGTCAGGGCAGGAAGCACATGGGGAGCAAAGGAGCTCGCCTCGTGGCTATCAGAGAACAGAGAGGCAAAAGAAGGGGCTGGAGTCTCCAAATCTTCTTCAAGGGCATGCCCCCAAGGACCTAACTTCCTTCCATTAAGTCCCACTTCTTAAAGTTTTCAACACCTCCCAATAGCACTAGAGACTGGCAACCATGTCTTTAGCAAATGGCCTTTGGAGGGCATTTAATATCAAAACTATAATGGCTCCTCTCTTTCACTATTTCAACATTAACTCAAGAAATATTCATTGAACAGCTACTCTGTTCCAAGCACTGTTCTAGAAGCTCTGCTCACTAGTGAACAAAACAGTCCAAATTCCTGCCT